AAGTGCATTGAGCATTTAGAATACTGCCTAAGTGCTAGCATTATTAAGTATTATTGCTACCGCTGTTATTGTTATTAAGATGCATTTCAGAAGCCATTCATAAAAATGAGGTTTCAAGGTTACCTGGGGAACCCAATCAAGAACGGCAGAAAAAGTTGTGTGTTCCATGTAATTATACAAGTGTGAGGTTTTACTGTGAAGTCTCTCCCCCAGAGGAAATTGATGAGGGAGGAAATGAGCAGCCTTTCCCCTGGAAGATCTGGGCTGCAAGCAAATTTCTGGACTCAAAGACAGGGGTTAGAATCTTGTATTGTAGTTCCAACTCAGTGTTATAGTTCTGGAACTACACTACAGCTGGCCATTCACTGTCCCTTGGACTTGTTAGCTTATCACACCAGCCACCATAATCATGCTTGTTTAAGAATGAAAGCATATCAGTTTGGCATAATTTCTTATCACACTTTCCCCCATGACAGTGCTTTGGTGATCCATGGTTGTGTGATTTGTTTTCCGTACTGCCAAATGCTACCTTCTAGGAGGAACAAAGGGCAACGAGCAATTGTGGTTGTCAACCACCTCCTGAAGCCAGCTGCTGTGTGAATGGGCCCACAGCAGCCAGCCTCAGGAAGCTGTTGGTGGCACAATCTCTGCAAGAGGGAGGGGGGAGAGGAGCAGAATCATACCCATTCACATCGTATGACTGTCTGAGAAACGGAACTGCAGCAGAAGGGACCTATCATGTGAAGGCTGTCATAGAATAGCTGTGAGATTGAGAGCCTATTGACAGGTTTTAGCCATCAATGAAACAGTGCAGTACAGTAATGGATGGAATAAAAGGCAGCAGCAAGGAAGACACAATGATGTGTGATAAATACTGGCTAAAAATACTTTTGTCCCGCTAAAACTCCACCTTTTAGCCTTGTGTGGTAAAGTCTTTGGTGTAGACCCACTGCAGCACCACTGCCATCTCATGCTTGGTAGAGAATGGAGTGGGGAGTTAAAGAAGTGTTCAACTATGTTCCCACAACTAGATGTGGAATGATTACATTGTCTGCAGATTTCCACCAGGGTCTTCTGGAGCTCTTGGTGAATGATATAATCCTCCCACCCAATCTTCTCTAGGCATGGCATGGCTATGGTGGGGATGCAACAGCAATGCAGTAACTGTGGAGATGGGGAGGCTTTGGTTGTTGAGGAGGGTAGAAGAGAAAACCAACCACCACATCATCAACAACAACAATTGACCGACAAAGGTATAAGGTTGACTTTCCTGCTCACTAACAGGATGCTAGCCAGAAAGTTCCATTGAACTCGCTAGGACAGACCTATGAAATATACTCAGGCTTTGATATGGGAGAGAGGAATGGCCAGGACCCATCTAAGTAGAAAGTGGGTGTGAATGCCTTGCAGCATCTGCCTTCTCTCATGATCAATAGATGTATGTGTACACCTATGCTCACAAGTTCCATGCTATGCTTTTATGCTTTGATTTGTACATTTTCTCATCTAAGGATCCAGTCCTAAGGGTGTGTACTTAC